CAGTACTGCAGTCCACCTGAACGCTGCACTGACTGCTACTCCTGGTGCAGCCAGTACAGCAGTCCAACTGAACGTTGCACTGACTGCCACTCCTGGTTGCATCAGTACAGCAGTCCACCTGAACGTTGCACTGACTGCCACTCCTGGTGCAGCCAGTACAGCAGTCCACCTGAACGCTGCACTGACTGCCACTCCTGGTGCAGCTTCTGAATCTTTCACCTCGGTTTTTAAACGCCTCACATATTAAACTTCTGACGAAGCACTCAAATAGTGTGAAAGGCTTTGGGCTTCATATAACACTTCCCAATGGTATTTTGTTTGTTGTATCTCTCGTTTCGATATATATATATATTATATATATATATATATATATATATATATTTATATATATATATATATATATATATATATTATATAATATATATATATGGGTATGTGGAGGTTAAGCTACAGCAGTTGGTTTACAGTGTTGCAGATGTGAATTACAGAGGCGTGGGTTACCATGGAGTGTTGCAGGTGTGGGTGAGGGTGAGGTAGCGGATGCCCAGGTCATAGTACATCCTGAGTACAGAGAGACTGGCGCCCATCAGGTGACCTCCCTCAACACCCAGCAGACTGGCGATACGACCAGAGTTGTACACCTCCAACAGACCTGACGGCACAACACACAAAAATTATGTACCTCCATTAGACTTGACGTTATAACACTCATAAGTTGTTCAACTCTATAGTTAATGAACAGTTAGATAAGGAACTGAACAACGTAGGATAAAAACATGGTGATGCATACTAGAGGAGCACAAGACACCTAGAACTAGAAAGACAAAATAGTGATGAAACACGGGAAATATAGGCAGAGGAGGATAGTCAGGAAAACCCAGTAAACACCACTGCGGAGAGCAAGGTAACCAGGAAAACTCAGAGCAGGATCGCCAGTAGAAAATCCCGGAAATTTTGAAGTGAACGAGACTGAGAATACCACAGAAAAAATAGGAAACATGAAATGTGCAGATGCTATGCCAGAGGCACATCCAACTATAAAACAGAATACATACATAGCAGAATGTGTTGCAACATGATGATAAAGGGTGTGACGTGCACCGAGCATGTTACATTTTATTCGACAATCGACACACAACTATTTGGCATGCCCTCTTGACCAGTGAACTGGCAATTCAGAGCGTAGCAGTTCTGGCCCCCCCCCCCAACTGCTGCGCTTATTGTCCAATTCAACCCGCCATTCAGGAGAAAACTGGCTACTTCAGCCGAGGTGACGCCATTTCAGCCCATCTGGCTGAGTGGCAGATTTCCACAGGCACTGGTCGTGACAGCTACTGCTTTCAGTGGCATTGATTTGTACAAAGTATAATCTGAATTCTTCTCTCATCATTAATATTGTACATAGTGCATATATTAGTGAAGAAATACATAGGTAAAGAAATCTAACCCATCTTGTTTGCCATGCTCTTGTTCTGCCCTGATGAATTTTTTGTTCTCTGACTTAGTCACAACCAGGTGCTATAGGCCATTAGACTACACCTGTGTTCGTAATAAAGGGGAAGTGCCGCGTTGGTGAGCAACGGAAGAATTTTCAGACTTAGAGGTGCAAATAATCATGGCCCAAGTCATCACAAATAAGCAATTAATAAATGAAAAATAAGCGATTAATAAATGAAAAATAAGCGATTAATAAATGAAAAAGAGTTGAAAGGGTTTAAGGCCTTTGACGCCGTCACCAGAACTTAATCAGGAGCTTTGCAATATAAGGAAATTGACGAATGTGATGGAAAACTTACAGAGGTGGACAAGCAAGTACAGTGCTGGGTTTTTCAATTGCCATTATCAATTTCAAAGCTCCTGACGGAGCATTAGCAACAGTGCAATAGGCCTTGAGTTTCAACATTCTTTCCTTAACCCCCCATAGCCTGTTATGTATCGATAAATAGTATTAAACCTACTAAATACTCAGAGTATATACAGAGATAAACCACATCTTTGTATGTCACTAGGAAATATACACCTCTTGAGAGAGGGGAAGAAGACGAGATGAGAGATGAATAGATATAGTGAGGATAATAGAGTGGAGAAAATGGAAAGGGGATAAAGAGAAGAAAGGACAAAGAAAGGAAATGGAAGGAGAATAATGAAGTGTGAGGAGAAAAAAAGATGAAGAGATTATAGACAGCAAGAGTATAAAAACTGGAAGTGGAAAACATAGAGAGGGGAGAGAGTAAAGAGAGGGAGAGGACAAAAAAATTAGAGAGGAGACAAATGAGAGAGAGAGAGAGAAGAGAGAGAGAGAGAGAGAGAGAAAGAGAGAGAGAGGAGAGAGAGAGAGAGAGAGAGAGGAGAGAGAGTAGAGAGAAGAGAGAGAGAGAGAGGAGAGAGAGAGAGAGAGAGAGAGAGAGAGCTAATAGAATAAAGAGAACACGATGGAAAAGTGAAGAAAAGAGAAACTTGTCCTCCACCTCAAGAACAGGACTTATACCACAGAAGCTTTCATAACAGCTGAGAGATTTCAGTGAAAAAAAAAGATACCTTTATCACAGGTAATAATTAACACATCACAAATGGTACACAAAGTTGCAAGTTGATGAGAAAGACACATCATGTGCAACACTAAACTATCTTTACGGCCTCAAAGAACAAAATAAGAGGCCACAATACCATAAATGGAACAATGCATACACAACCCGCACACGAGAGAAATAAACTTTTGACGACGTTTTGGTCCGACTTGGACCATTAACTAGTCACACACACTAGTTTTTTCCTCTGTGCGGGTTATTTTTCTATTTATGGCTTAACAGATCATAATTGGTAATCTTACTAGCGTGGGAGTGCGCGTATCCCAGATGCTGAGGGTAGCGCGCTATCAGTCTCTTGATGACATCTATCTGTTCCAGCGTCACCTGCGCAGCGTTGAGGTACTGCGCTCCGCACGGCACGTACGCCGCCCAGAACTGCGCCGAGAGGGAGAGAAACCCAGAGTACATGTTAAGTGTTGCACATTTGAGTTGCAGTGTTACAAGTACAAATTACAGTGTTGCTGGGTACATGTTAAGTGTTGCCGGGTACATACTGAGTGTTGCAGGTTTGATTACAGTGTTTCAAGTGCAAGTAGCAGTGTTCCAGGTTTGGGTTGCTTATAACAAGGTTCCTAATCAAAAGACTGATCTCATACATTGTTTATTTTGCTCCTTTTTTAATATTAATACCGCTTCCTCACACTAATTTTTTTCACTGTATGGTCAAGGTAATCCTTATAGCCTTATTTTTTTAAGGGGGAGGTGGACAGGTAACCCAGCGGAAGGTTTCGGTCAGATGACCAAAAGCTGCAGTGGCGGGTCATCATATGACTCAGACCAGCGTCGGAAAACACTTCTCCTGTTTCCTGACGAATTTTACCTAACCTAACCGGTAAGATCAGCATAACTCTTCACCGGTGCGCCGATCGTGATGGTTTTGTTCATCAGAACACTGAACATTTCGTAAATGAGGACTCAGCTTCAGGGCGTGCCAATCTCTACACACCTTGGAATATTTCCCACTGAAATAGGACACTGCATTTTTTGTTGGTTAGATATTCCATAACCCCAATAAATAATTTACCTATTACTCCCATAATTCATTAAGAATGGCAGTACTTTGGGGGTTTGTCGAAGGCAGTTTTCAAACCTGTGAAGGTTGAGTACAATACTTAACCATTTGCAGTTGAAGACATGAATTATGTATAAAGCTTATAAGAGTCTTATATTTTATGCTGCATAGTTGACTATTCTGTAATATTCCTTTTAAAATTTTACAGAAACCTAACGTAAATAAATTTCTCTCTTCCTTTTAATAAAGGGGAAAAGTAATGGTGGTTCCTTTCCCGTATTTTAGGGAATCAACAGATAAATTTGAATATTTAAATGTGTAGGGCGAATATTGTCCTTAGGCTTCAGTAAACTCTTCAGTTATGCCACGGGTGATACCATCATCCATGTTCCTGCTCCTCCTTTAATACCATTCCATATATCCTAATCCCTGTTTGGTGTATCAGCTAATCCATCGACTTGTCGGTTCTGTGAACCAGTTATCTACGTATTTCTTGTATGCTGACTTTTGACAATTTGGTTTACATTTTCATGTTCTTCTGCATTTCCTTAACGTAGCTGGTTTGAGACATCTGCATTGGATCATGGATCCAGTTCGCTTTAATTATATTTTTCTTTTGGGGATGTGGTTGTGTTGGTGTTGTGACGTTCACTAAAACCCGCTTCGCATTTTTTCTCCTGTGTATTAATACTTGCTACAAAAGTCCTCCGCTCCTCCCTAGAGCTCTAAATTATTTTACTGCAGTAGCCAGTCTTCAGAAACTCATTTGTTTTCATTGGCAAGTTGTCTTCTCCACAACCTCCCTACTAAACAAATTTTCCCCTTAACAATACCACTTTACATTCGGATTTGTCAAAGCCTTTTCCAGCGCTTCGTTAAAGCCTTTTGCCATATAACCAGAGGATTCAAGGGGCAAGTAATATTTCCATATTAAACATTATTATCACTGATGCAAGCGTTGCTGTATTTTTTTCTTCATTTCATACTCCAACAGATTCAATTTCATTGTCTCCATATCAAAATTCAGACCCGGGAATTCCCGGTGATCAAACCCCAATCCCCCCAAGGCGACCCCTCCCCCGCTTTTCCAAAGAGACATGAAATCATTTGGCTCCACCTTAAATGGGACTCCAACCCATTCTCGCTGACAAAGTTTAATGACCTCTAATTCCATAACGATTCTGTTAATTAACCCACAGCTAACATGGCATCCCACCCCTCCACCTCTCCTCCTTCAATTCACCCCCAAAAGGTTTCCAACCCATGAGCGTTGAGGAAATAACCATAAAATTCCTTCTTTCCTCAGGAAAATTTTTTTGATTAAGTAATATTTTTTTATAAATTTAATGTCCCCCCTTAGGAACCCCTTCATAAATTAAAATACCACAACCCATAACGTCTTTCCATTGGGGATATAATTTTATACCTAATCCTTTTTGGGGATTCTTTCCTTCTTTTTTTTCCTTTTTTCCACCTTTTCCAGAAGGCACATATTCCTTTGAAAAACGGGATGAATCAAATTTGGGGGTAAAATTTGAGGACCTGGAAATTATTATGATTTATTTAAAGAAAAAAATGAGGAGAATATGTTTCAAATCCAAGGGGTTTAAATTTTTTGGGGTTAAAAATTTTAAATTTTTGCTTTTTATTCTGGCAAAGTTCTTGTCTTATATTTTGGAAAAGGCGTTTGCGTATGAAATTTGCCGTTTCAATTAGCGGGGGAATTGGGCATAGAGTTTTTCAGGTTACTCTTTATTTTTTGATTTTTAGAAAAGTAGGCCTTTGAAAAGGGTGTGTATTACCTGTTTTTTAAATTTATATTTTGTGGGTTGGAGTTGCGGGGGTTCTGCAAACTGGCGTTAAATTAAAACTCCAAAGGGAGTTTCACACCGTTTACTGATAACAGTCCTTTTGGGGACTAAGGGCCTTCAAATTATGAGGTAGGAAAGAAAAATTTTAAATAATATATATATATATATTTTATAATAATTTTATATATATATATATTTTATATATATAAATTTTATATATAAATATATAATATATATATATATATATATATTATATATATGAAAAAACAAGCCATAGGGAAATGGAAAACATTAGCTCAAGGCCTTTCACTCTTTTATGCTTCATCAGCGCTATGTAATATTGCAGGACTTGAAAAAGGTTTTAGGGTGGTCCGATGCAGGCCTATCTCCGGCGAGATGGGGCAATATATCGCCTTAGCTCGGGAGAAAATCTTGCCCCCAAAACCTACCTGTTGTCAGCAACGTTAATGACCTGTGCCCCAATTTTGCCGTAACACACCTGTTGACATTACCTACTTTTGTCACACTAGACAATGTCTGCAAATGTCTGACACACCTGGTAACATTCACCTACTACTAACACATTTCTCGACATCTACTTACCTCTAATACCTGCTGACGCCTATTTACATTTGTTGAAATCTACTTCCACCTGTTGACAAGTACTTACATTGGGCGAGGTAGTGTATGTGTTCGGACTGACCTGGGCGCCGACTCTGCCGTGTCTCATCCTAGCCAGGTCAGTGTGGGACCAAGGTGAACTGCCCCAGGGCTCCACGCTGCTCAGGTTCTGAGACATGTCCACCTTTTCCAACTTGTTATGTACGAAGTTTCTGATGTTCCAGGCCAGGTCATTGTGTCTGAGGAAGAGAACGGACGTCTGGGGTATGAGGGAGACTAAGGACATGTTGTGAATGGGATGAATCTTTGTCGTTTCAAAACCATATCATCCCTCATGAACATGCTTAAAATGCCGATGAAGGAATCTTAATCTATAGAACTGGTGATTCTCAGGGCGCTGTGTGACCCTTACTGGTTCAGTGCTTCTGCATTAAAATAACAATAAAAATAATATAATAGAAAGTAAACGGGGAGAGTGTCGATACTGATATTCTTTATACAGAACTTTTAACATACTGAACTACTTGGAAGGGTTCCCATATATATGACAAGAATTTGAAAAAAAAAATTACAAATTACTATTTTTGGAAACCCTTCCAAAACTTATCTAAAATATATTTAGTTGGATTAGGCTAAATTAAATTGCGTTTGTTATAATAAGGTTAGGTAAATTTTCTAAGGATCTTTTGGCACAAAATTTTTTAATTTTTTAATATTAACATAAATGAAAAAATATATCTTTAAACGTATATATATATATATAATATATAAAATATATATATATATATATATAATATATTATATATATATTATATATATATATAATATATATATATAAAATATATATATATATATATTAAAAATATACAATTTCAAAAAAAGATAACCATTTGTTCTATAAAGATCTGTGAAACAATATATATTAACCATTGGCGTTTTCACTTCACAAATCACCATTAGAACATCAGGAAATTGATTAATATGAAAACCTCTCTCACAGTTGGTAATTAACTGAAAGCCTTTGATTTCCCGATTTTTCCCTTTCACTGCAGTAATGACCATTAAAAGGACGAGCATAAATTCAATTCTGTCTTCGTCAGAGTCATGCGTTCTGCTTCCTTGCAAGGCATGCGTTCTGTTGCCTTGCAAGGCATGCGTTCTGTTGCCTTGCAAGGCATGCGTTCTGTTGCCTTGCAAGGCATGCGTTCTGTTGCCCCGCGAGGGATGCGTTCTGTTGCCTGCGAGGGATGCGTTCTGTTGTCCTGCGAGGCATGCGTTCTGTTGCCCTGCGAGGCATGCGTTCTGTTGCCCTGCGAGGCATGCGTTCTGTTGCCCTGCGAGGCATGCGTTCTGTTGCCCTGCGAGGCATGCGTTCTGTTGCCCTGCGAGGCATGCGTTCTGTTGCCCTGCGAGGCATGCGTTCTGTTGCCCTGCGAGGCATGCGTTCTGTTGCCTGCAAGGCATGCATTCTACTGCCCTGCGAGGCATGCGTTCTGTTGCCCTGCGAGGCATGCGTTCTGCTGCCCTGTGAGGCATGCGTTCTGTTGCCCTGCGAGACATGCGTTCTGCTTCCTTGCGAATCATGCGTTCTGCTGCCCTGCAAGGCATGAATTATGTTGCCCTGCAAGACATGCGTTCTGTTGCTCTGTGAGGCATGCGTTCTACTGCCCTGCGAGGCATGCGTTCTGTTGCCCTGCAAGACATGCGTTCTGTTACCCTGAGAGGCATGCGTTCTGCTTCCTTGCGAGGAATGCGTTCTGTTGCCCTGCAAGACATGCGTTCTGCTGCCCTGCTAGGCATGCGTTCTATTGCCCTGCAAGACATGCGTTCTGTTTCCTTGCAAGACATGCGTTGTGCTTCCTTGCGAGGAATGCGTTCTGCTGCCCTGCAAGGCATGCGTTCTGCTGCCCTGCGAGGCATGCGTTCTATTGCCCTGCAAGACATGCGTTCTGTTGCCTTGCAAGGCTTGCATTCTGCTTCCTTGCGAGACATGCGTTCTGTTGCCCTGCAAGACAAGCGTTCTGCTGCCCTGCAAGGCATGCATTCTGTTGCCCTGCAAGACATGCGTTCTGTTGCCCTGCGATGCATGCGTTCTGTTGCCCTGCAGGACATGCGTTCTGTTGCCCTGCAAGACATGCGTTCTGCTTCCCTGCCAGGCATCCGTTCTGTTGCCCTGCAATGCATCCGTTCCGTTGCCCTGCCATGCATCCGTTCTGTTGCCCTGCTATGCATCCGTTCTGTTGCCCTGCCATGCATCCATTCTGTTGCCCTTCCATGCATCCGTTCTGTTGCCCTGCCATGTCCGATCTGTTGCCCTGCCATGCGTCCGTTCTATTGCCCTTCCATGCATCCGTTCTGTTGCCCTACCAGGCATTCGTTCTGTTGCCCTGCCAGGCATGCGTTTTGTTGCCCTGCCAGGTATCCGTCCTGTTTCCCTGCCAGGCATCTGTTCTGTTTCCCTGCCAAGCACCCCTTCTGTTGCCCTGCCATGCATCCGTTCCGTTGCCCTGCCATGCATCCGTTCTGTTGCCCTGCCATGCATCCGTTCTGTTGCCCTGCTATACATTCGTTCCGTTGCCCTGCTATACATCCTTTCTGTTACCCTGTCAGGCATCCGTTCTGTTGCCCTGCCAGGCATCCGTTCCGTTGCCCTGCCATGTATCCGTTCTGTTGCCCTTCCAGGCATCCGTTCTGTTTCCCTGCCAGGCATTCGTTCCGTTGCCCTGCCATGTATCCGTTCTGCTGCCCTGCCATGTATCCGTTCTGTTTCCCTGCCAGGCATCCGTTCCGTTGCCCTGCCATGTATCCGTTTTGTTGCCCTTCCAGGCATCCGTTCTGTTTCCCTGCCAGGCATCCGTTCTGTTTCCCTGCCAGGCATCCGTTCTATTTCTCTGCCAGGCATCCGTTCTGTTGCCCTTCCAGGCATCCGTTCTGTTGCCCTGCCAGGCATCCGCTATGTTGCCCTGCCAGGCATCCGTTCTGTTGCCCAGCCAGGCATCCGTTCTCTTGCCCTGACAGGCTTCCATTCTGTTTCCCTGCATTCTATCCGTTCTGTTGCCCTGTGAGTAATGTATACTAACAATCTAAGCTCAATACAGTTCCACCATTAACGTGTTTTCCAATTACCTTTTTCGACAGGGAACATAAGTCTATCGAATAACAAAATAGCGCATCCAGATTATTGTAACAGCGCCAGACACAAAGCCAGGGACGAACGGTAGTTTGATAAGTTCACTAATGATAAACACTGTCAGAGTGGACTAGTACAATCTGGATCTTGTAGAGTTAACAGAAATGTCTCCTGGGATGACTTGCATAGCCTTCGTATAGGGTTGATGTTCACACTTAAGGTTGGGAATTTTAGAACTCACTTGCCATGGGTTCAATCCCCACCCGTTCCATGATTTGTTTGCAGCCGTGTTATTACGATTTCGTGAGTCAGTTTGGGTTTTCGCTTATGAATGGAAACCCCGTAAGGGTGAAATGAAATAATAGATGTATAGAAAGATCAGAGTTGGTTGTTGCAGTGTGTGTGTTTTGTGTGTGTGTGTGTGTGTGTGTGTGTGTGTGTGTGTGTGTGTGTGTGTGTGTGTGTGTGTGTGTGTGTGTGTGTTGTGGTGTGTGTGTGTGTGTGAGTGTGTGTGTGTGTGTGTGTGGGGTGTGTGTGTGTGTGTTTTGTGTGTGTGTGTGTGTGTGTGTGTGTGTGTGTGTGTGTGTGTGTGTGTGTACTCACCTATTTGTACTCACCTATTTGTGGTTGCAGGGGTCGAGTGTGTGTGTGTGTGTGTGTGTGTGTGTGTGTGTGTGTGTGTGTGTGTGTGTGTGTGTGTGTGTGTGTGTGTGTGTGAGTGTGTGTGTGTGTGTGTGTGTGTGTGTGTGCGTGTGTGTGTGTGTGTGTGTAGTGGCAATGACAAAAATAAAACCAAGAAGAAATCATAGTCTGATAGGAAGGTTCTGACTGTAGGAGAATAAAGAAGAGGAATATTTTGACCGATAACTAACATGTAGAATTACTTACCATGATTGAGGGTGAAGGAGAGGTGCCTAGTCCCATGTTTAGTGTTGGTCATGTCATAGTGACCCCCATCCCCCAGGCAGGTGGCAGTGAACATGATAGTGAACACCAATACGGAGGTGAAGCTGTGATGAGGGTGTCAGGTGGTGTAGGTGACTATTGATCAGCAAGTGAGGGAGTCACACCTCCCCTCCAACACCCACTCAGCTCCACCTTTACTCTAACACTACTCCACTCTCACAGCTTCCACACTGCCTGTATCCACTCCCCAACACTCCTCCAATCGACCCTAAGCACCACTAAACAAGCCGACCATTAGGGTTGGTCTAGTCAAGTGCCCAAGGCCCATTGAAGTTGACCTGGGATCTCAAGTTGACCTAACGAGTAAAGCTGACCAGATCTCTCAGGTTAACATGACGTGTAAAGCTGACCAGATCTCTCAGGTTAACATGACGTGTAAAGCTGACCAGATCTCTCAAGTTAACATGACGTGTAAAGCTGACCAGATCTCTCAAGTTAACCTGGCGTGTAAAACTAACCAGATCTCTCAAGTTAGCTGACACCTCTCAAAGCAACTTTGAATTATAATTTGTCTCGGTCTGAAAGAAAAATATATTGCTTATATGGAGAAACGCTCAACCTGCATTGTTAAATAATATCTCTTGAAGTACAAGGGAGAACAACTCCGCTTTGCTGGATCAAAAGCCTTACACCGGCATCAAAGCACCCTCTCTGAAAGCCCGGGGGCCACAGCAGCACTCCAACAGGATGGCATTACATAAAGGTTTGATATACTTCGCTGTCTCCAGACTCTGGCATTGACTGTTCCATGACTGTTACGGTTCCTCCAGAAGTTTCAGTAACAGATCTTTCGAAGCTGGTTCGTGACTTGCCCACACCTCTAAGAGTTGCCTCAAGGACTTGAAGTAACTCGTAGAGGAGTTGGCAGGTGAGTATTTCGAGCATCACTTTTTTTCATTGTGGTTGCAGATGGTGTGGCCAGTGTTTGTCATCTTCCCATGATGCTCTGCTGGCGATATACATTTTTTAAGGTGTTCTCTCCACTTACCTGTGAATGGATCGACTGATCTTGTTTCACCTGCATACTGTCTTGTGCGTTTAAGTCTTGAGTATAGATGCTAAATCTTCTCCTGTTGCCCTGCTCTTCCCTCTCGCACTAGCTAGATCCTGTCTGTCACTGGAAAAAGGATTTGTATTGGAACATTCCAATCTTTTCCTGCTGAGAACCTTTATGTTGAGTCCCGTGAGCTTAACCCCTGGATCCTATCATAGGGACTAGGCGTAACCTACCTGTTTTCGGATTTTCCATGCCCGTTGTCGAGGCCCTCTGACATTTTCATGATGTGATTAGCTGCCATCTTAGAGCGGGGGCCTTTATGTATTTGTAACTAGGAGGTTAGGGGTGTCTCCCTACCTCTAAAGGGCGGTGCCCTGAAACGTCTTATGGGTGGGATAGTTCCTTTTAATGACGAGTTCTGCCAAATTTCCTGGAGCATATTTGGTTCATCTTCAGGTCAAAGTCTTCGTTGACATGTGTTGTTGGCTTAACAATGTCCACTGGAGAAGGCTCGTATTGTGTGTAGATGAGAGACAAGTCCTTTGTGTTCACTGTGAAGTTTTATTCAGTCTTTGCTGCTCTCATCCTGATAGCCGGCTTAGAAATTTTCCAAGTCCTGTCTATCAAATTCTCAGTGCACTCTTTTGTCCTGGCCCAGTACGTTTCTGTCTACCTGTAGTCCTAAAGATCAAGAGCCAGCCTCCATTCCCAGAACAGGGAATGAAGCATTCTATTGGTGGAAAGGCCATGTGCAGCAGGAAATGAATTGACGGATGCCGAGGTGAAGACTGCTATTTCGACTTCTCTGTATTGCATGCTACTCTCTCAGTAGCTTCTACCTCATGTGACTAGTGACGTGTCTGTCACCAGTTTCGAATTTTTTATGATCTCATAACCCGGCCTGGGGCCAGGCTTTGTTGCTGTACCCATGGTATTGTGTTCTGTCTTTGTGCTCATGGCACCTCTTTCTTTACTGCGATTCGGTGATTTCTGCCTCAGTGACTTCATGATGCCCATAAATAATGTCCTAGATAAGCAGTGGGTCCAGTGGGCCCTGCGGATGAGCAACAAATTACATAGAGTTCAACGGAATGTGGGTGATATACCATCCCCTTTCTGTGATGGTTGAGGATTGGGCACATGCACCTCACCATAGTCACCAGATAGCAGCTGCTGCTTCCCCTCTGTGTGTGTGACTTGTCGCAAGCTGCTGAATATGAAATGCATTTTGAACTGTTTGTCAACTACTCCGGCCCTATATGCTTATGACATGCATTTCGTAATTACCGGGGTGCCTGTAGGGACCTTGGGGAATTTTCTGGATATTTGACATTGCCAATTTCATATTTTTTTTTTAAAGAAATTACTTTCACTT